AATTGCGATGAGAATTTTATCTTTCACATAAATATTTAATAGAAAGACGCATAGATGAAGAGAAAGCTTTAGATGAACAGAAAAAAAAAGAAGCTCAAGAGCGTCATTTATATTTGACTACTAAGGTAACTATTTGGCAACATTATGAGGACTAATAATAATTTTATTCGTTCATAGCAGTTTAAGCTTTATCTCAACCCACTATCAGATCCTGACTTTAACTAATTTTGAGCACTACCAAGGAGTTGATCTTGCTAATTTTAACAATCAACAATACCCTCAATCTGAAGTTCTACAAATTAAAGTTTTAAAAAGGGACACATATCGTGCTTTTAAAGCCATTGTCGCTCACAAATTTGGTATTTCACCTGAGAAAATGAGATTCTGGGATCTTGCAAATCGTCAAAATAGGACTATTAGACCAGATACCCCAATACTAAATGATTTTCTTGATATGAGTAAGTCATATGTAAATTGTCGCTCTTTTCATATCGTAATAAACCTCTTATTTAATTTGTGATTAATAGCGATGGAACAAATCCAAAAAAAAGTAGCTCCAAGACAAAATGAACTGAAATTATTTTTGGAAATAGCAGATAAACCATTTAACAGCAAAGTAATATTTAATATTAACAAATATATACATATTATTGGACACTTTATTCTTATTATTACAATTTTTATTTATTTATTTATGCGTAGGCATGGTTCCCGCCAAAAGAGAGGAACTCTTATCTATTAGTTTTCATCAAATACTTTAATCCAGATACACAATCTCTAGAGTATGTGGTTTAAACTTTATTTTATTAATTAATTTGATATGAGAATTAAAACTTTTTATGCCTATGTAAACAGAGGAGTGTGTTATATATATGTTAGAATGTTTGGTAAAGTTGGTGATATTATTCCAATTCTTTGCAAGATAAAGAACTTTTTACCAAAAACACCCATGAAAATATACGAAGTAAGATATATTTTACATATATAATGTTTTGTTAATACGTATTAATGGCATATTTATTTTATTAAAATATAGGAAGTAAAACCAGACATGATTGAAGAGATGAAACTCAAATGGACTTTTAAACGATCTGAGATACAAAATGGTGATATAATTTGTTTCCAAAAGGTTTTAACCGAACGAGAGTAGGTTATTCATTAACTTGATCTTGTCTCATTTTTTTAATGATTTTTTTTGTAAAAGAATTTCTCTGTCTTAATTTAGGATACAAAAACACACTGATGCAGGCCGTATTCATGATATCCCAACATTTTATGAGTCATTATCTATGCGTGTTGTTATTCAATTTAAGCCAAAATATCGTGAACAAAAACCTGAATTTGAGTTAATTTTAAATAAGAACTACAAATATGATGATGTATGTATTGTATTAAAATTTTAGAGGCTGTTCAAAATCTTGACAGGTTAGCCTGTATTGTGTCATCTTTAGATATATGAACTTTCAATTTTTATCTGTATTTTATTTGTCGAGATTTTGACTCAAATTCGAAATTTCAAATAGAAATTCGCAAAAATATATGAATTTAATAATTTATTTAGTTAAATATATCTTCTTTATATGTAGGTTGCTAAACGCGTTGCCGCTTTTTTAAACACAGATCCTTTGAAATTACAGTTTACAACTGCACGTTCACCGTCCGGTTCATACAAAACTGTAATTAAAAGGGTAAACAACCAGACACTGTCAGAGATGCTTAACTTAATCTATCATCCCACAATGACTTTTTTATATTATGAAATGCTTGATATTGGTATTATTGAGTTAGGAACCAAAAAGTTCTTTAAAGTACATTGGTTTAAAAGAATAGTTAAGGAAGAGGTAAAAGACCATTGAAATATTTAGATTTATATATTATTCAATTCATTAATTATTATTATTTTCCTCCTTAAAGGAAGTGATTGATGTTTGTCTTCCAAAGACTGCTATAATCAATGAAGTTCTTAGAGTAATTGTACAAAAACTAGCATTGCAAAAACCTACTCATAGAATTAGATTATATGATGTCTTAAATTTCAAGATTCAGAATGAATACAACATCAATGATCCAATAGATAAAATACAAGAAAATATGACTTTATATGCAGAGGTTTGTTCTCTCATGTAATTTTTTGATATTTATTATATAATCTCCTATTGAAAAAGTTATCTTATAATTAGGAAATACCTCAAGATGAAACTGAACTAAGATCTAATGATAAATTTATTCAAGTATTTCATTTTACTAAGGAGACGTTTTGCACACATGGAATTCCATTTAAATTTGTTATTAAAGCTGTTAGTGTTTTTAAATGTTATTTCGTGGGTTTGTTTGTATTTATACTTGTTATTAATTTTAGTATGATGTCTATATAATTAGGGCGAACCTTTCTCTGCGACAAAGTTGCGCCTTCAATTACGCTTAGGAATGAACGAAAAAGAGTTTTTGAGAGTGAAAGTTGCAATTATACAACCAGCATCATATGCCAAGCCTCAATATATAGAAGATAATAGTATGTATATTCGTTTTTCGATTTTATTTTTGAAATTTTTAAATTGCTATTAATTGACATTACGCGCTTTCAATAGGTGTTATTTTATCAAATTATGGATTAACAGATGAACTCTTAGGTCTTGATCGTTTGGATAAAACGGGACGTGCAGGAAGAGGAGGAGGTGAAAAATCGATATATATTAGAAGATAATATTTTTTTAGTACAACTTTCTCTAGATACATGATTTCTAAATTATTCAACTTTAAAGCTCTTTTTATTTCTATATATAATAATACATGATTTTATAATATTTTCAAGATTCCATCTTATCCTATATTGTAATGTTCAAATATTTAAACAAGTTGTACTTGATGTGAATCAACGTGTTCCTGCATTCCTTCAGGACATCGAAATTGATGTTGATCAACGTGATTTTGCATTCCTTCAGGGCATTGAAATTGAAGCAATTGACATTTTACTAACTAGAGATTACGCATTGTGATTGTTAAAAATGTTATAATTATCCATTTAATATCTATATATACTAAATGTTTAATATGTCCTAATCTTATTATAATTCTCACATATAATTATATTTATTAACCTGAAAATTTTAATACAAGCAACTGATCATTTCTGAATTTTACTTTTTGTCAATATGAATGGTTTTTGACATATCTTCTCTACCCTTTATACATCGCCTTTCTTTTTTTTTTTAACGGAAATGATCTTCAAGTTTACATCTACAAGACTCAGCAATTATATGATGCGTTATCTAGGCTCAACAATCATGCAAAATTTGATTATTAGACACTTTATTAAAGAATACTTGATCCCAGACTTTTATATGAAAGTTAAGCATTCAAAAACCATTTTGCAAAATTTCAGGAGGCTTAATTATAAAATTCGATATTTCTTAATTTTTTTTTTGTTACTCCACTGATTATTTGATTTGTTCAACGTTACAATGGTTTTTTTTTCTTCCTCTTTCCGCAACCGAAAGGTCCTTAGACACCTTAGGGTTTTTCTCACTTCCTAAGGCCAGTTTTGTCATTATTGTGAAGATCTACGGAATGACGAAATAGCCTCTGTATGTCACCGCACTAGTGAGATAGCTCATGCTCCATTAAGTCCATCATATGACGTCCCTGGTCCTGCGGTGTAGGACCCACGTTATCTAGGTCCGCAGTTCCCTAACTTCACATGACTAGTGATGTGCCTAGGGATGGGAATCGATTTTGAAATCAAAATCGATTTTGCAATCGGATAACTTAACCGATTAATCGATTAATCGGATAAAAAATT